TCTGTGCATCCTGACTTTGGAATCAGTATGTTTTGCTTGGATAGTAAACATATTTTTTTTTTAGTGTTACTGTTTTTTGCTTCTCTTCTTCTAGATCATCCTTCATTTCCATGTTTTTGCATTCCCAATCTATTGTTTTATCTTTTGTTTCTTTGGAGAAATTTGCTAATGCAGATGCCAGTCTGCTCATTATTTTTGCTGTGCAGACCATAAATTCTGCTCTCATACTTCTCATTTCTCTTTTGAGCTCTTCTATGGCCTGGGACCAATCCATATTTTTCTTGGAGACTTTGGATGTAGAAGCTTTGACTTTGTTGTCTTCTTCTGGTTGTATGTTTGATCTTCTTTGTCATCAAAGTAAGATTCTAGGATATGATTCTTTTTGCACTGCCTGCTTATAATCCCAGCCACTTACTTGAGTTATAAACTCTTTGTTAAGGTAGGGGTCTGCTTCCAGTGTGGAGAATGTACTATCCCAAGCTTTGGGGATTTTGTGCAGCTGTTTTCAGAGATACTTCTAGGGACCTGTAAATTTTCAGTTCTTCCAAGGTGCTGTGATCAAGGGCGAGGTGTTTACTCCTTTCCTGACCTGTGGTGTGGTCTATGAGTGACCACAAGCACTCTTTTCTGTCTTGGAACTATGAGGATTTCCTCTTTACAGCCGTTACAATTTCCACCACGCCAGTTCTCCTCCTCGCCCCAGGACCAACACCGAGAACTGATCCAGATCCAAGCACAGGCAAAGCAAGAGAATTCTGCACCAGCAGAGAGATCCTTGCAATCCCCCTCTGATCAGCCACTCCATTCCCCCTCAGTCTGTGGGCTGGAAGCTCAGGAAGCAGCCGCTGCTCTGGGACTAAGCTGGGGGACTGGAGCTGAGACCACCACGCTTCTCTCTCTCTCACCACAGACACAGACTTTTCCTACTGACCTTCTAAGTTGTCTTTGGCGTTTGTGGGTTGAGAAGTCTGGAAACCACTACAGCTGCCTGTGATTTAGTTCCCTGAGGCCCGCTCCAGGTTTGCTGAGGCCTGCCTTGCCTGCACGCCAACGCAGAGCTGTGCTCCTCTACCCGCATGGCGCAATATACCTTTCCAATCAACCATCCAGGCTGTCTTGGGCTGTAAATTTGTTTCACTCTGTCTTTTTGTGGGTTCTGCTGCTTTAGAATTTGTTTAGAGCCATTTTTTATAGATATTTGGAGGCGTTTGAGGGAGAGCTCAAGCATGTCACTGCTTTTACTCTGCCATCTTGGCTCCGCTCATTTCTCTTTTGAACCACTCACAAACAACATATTGTGGTTCCAGGTTCTGTTCACACTCCGCAAGATCCTCTGTCTCATTAAGTGTTGGAATTGTTTTTCTTTGTTTTGCAGTATTTATTTATAGATGTCTAAACTCATTTGTTAGATCTAGGGGCCACATCTTCCTCTGTTGTTAATGTTTTTCCTTTTTTATTTGTCTGTTTCCTGAAATCTTTGGTAATTTCAATCTTCCTCGACTCCAACTCATTTTCCCTTATTACTCACTTTCTGACTCTGTCCTCTTTGATGGTGGTTTCCTTTGGGGCTAGATCTCAAAGGGTCTCAGCCTCTTCTAACACTTCAATTTACAATTCAGCAGCCTAGGCCTTTGCCCTAGTTGACTTTTAGGTGGACATACATGATCCTAGCTTGATGCTGAGCTCTTTCCCTGAGGATTTTTGGAGTCAATTACACCCATCCCTGCTCCCTTTCCCCCATTCACCATGTCATGTCCTGGTGTCTTATCCTGCTCCCTCTGTTCCTCAGTTCTCTGTCTCGATGTAAGCAGTTCAAAGTCTTGAAGCATTGGGATTATGGGAGTGATTTCTGTAGTTCAAGTGCCCAAGGCTCTGGGAGGAGAGGTGTGTGTGGTGTGGTACTGAGTTCTATTTTGAGCTCAAGCACATATCCTGCTCCTTTCCCTCTGTTCTTCTGCAATCCTGTAAAGATATTTGCTGCACTGACCACTGCTTGCCACAGCACTGGATGTTCAAAGCCTAGTGAGCTTTTGCCCCTGGAGAGTTGCTGTGGTCCTGGCTGATTGTATGGGCCCAGCAGGCTTTTGGGCCCTGGAGTCCTGCTTAGCACTGGCTATCCTCATGGTCCGAGTAAACTTTCACAGCCTGGGGTTGGGGTGGGATTAGGATGTGAGGTTGGGTTTTGTTCCAAGCTTGTGTGCCAGGTCCTTCAGTTGGCCAGTGCAGCATCTCTGTTAGTAATGTGGAAGGTAGAGGAGGACTGCTGAATGAACTCATGATTGGCATTAATTCATGGTTCTTTTATTTTTCTTTCTTCCTAGACCAGGAGTGGGGAACCT